GGGGAGAGGGGGGATGACATGCATTAAAAGGTTGCAGGCCGGAACCGAACACTGGCTGCTGCGGCAAGGATCCAGCCCCAGCACACGGGGCTCTTCTTTGTTTCTCCCTAACTCCTCCCAGTGTCTTACTAGTTATGGCTCCAAACTAATTAGAGCATAGGAGGGCAAGTGAGAAGGTCAAACTGCAGGATTCAAAATCTTCATCTATATTCTGGAAAGAGTCTCCAATCTTTCTCGGAATTCCAAATCTAAAAAAAGAAAAGTCTCGGAGGAAAATACAGAATTTAATAGTGCGTGGACAGATTTGTTTGCTCCCACCAGCAACGCTGCTGGCTTAACGATATGCTTGATCTGCAGCTAGAAAGTAGTATTATACGACTTGAATATGTTTTGCAGCTCCAGACAGATTTCTTTATTTATAGTGAAGGTTGCTGAACCCTGTCCTAGGTTACAGCCAGGGTTAGAAAGTGCCAGCATTGTGCCAGGATGAAAATGTTCTTGGGCCTTGAAATCAATACCAGAAATGAATGTACACCTAATATGTTTAAATAAGTTATTTAAAACTGTGAATTCTGAGTCAAAAAATGATCTCCTCTGCTAAGCTAACGTTAGGCTAACTACGTTTTAAGCTGGATTTTTATTCTCCAGCTTCTGCCTTATTTGTGTCAGTGGAAAACTAAATTACCAAGGATTTAGTTCACCAAAATTGATATATTTAGCAAGTTATTTAACAGTTAGAAGGCTCCAGTCAAGGCTAGCTTTGGTAATCAGTAGCTAGCTTTAACAGGATTTTGGGGCTTTTATTGCCTTTAATTGATAGTGACAGCTGAACACAGACAGGAAAGGGGGCAGAGAAAGGGGATGACACCCTTGGGCCGCTGCAGCAAGGACGCAGCCCCGGTACATGGGGGAGCACCGGGCACCCCAGTTGACCGGTTTTTAGCTGTGTTTTGTTTTAACTGCACATTAACATGCTGTTTTCTTTGGAATTATACATTTATAAATGCCAACAAGTCAGATTTTGGTATTAACTAAATTTTGAGCGAATATGTAGTTACTGCTTTTAACTAACAGCTCCCTTAGCCTCAAAGAATGCTTTTAGTTCTGGGTTCAAGTCCAACCTGCGGCCTTTTGCTGCATGTCCTTCCCCCCATCTCTCTGTACCCCCTTTCCTGTCTATCTTCAACTGTCCTATCAAATAAAAGCATAAAAAGCTCCCCAAAAATCTTAAAAAAAAACAAAAAAACAAGTGTGAAAAACCCTGACCATACAATTGCAAAGTCACTAGACTTCCATCACAAACCCTATTATACTTCTTTATAGGTGTTTACCTCCACTGTGTGGGGTGCCACTATCTCTCCACGAGCATTGAGGTAAAAGACTCCGCCCCTCTTCAGCTCCTTCTTCAGCTCCAAACTGCGAGTCTTCATCTGCTCCTGCACAGCCCCCACCAGCTCCCCCCAGCCATGAGACGCTGACGTAAAGCAAACATAATAGTCCTGTTCTCAATTCATTTAAAGCATCAGCTGTCACACAGTTCATTTTAATGGTCTTTTTTTAATTACCAGGCTCTTTCATTCCCCAGCCATATTTCTGAGAGTCCTGAATAGCTTTTCCCAGTAGAGAGGCCTGTTGTAGAAATTTCCTGATGCTGTCCAAGTTGAGACTGGAACCGCCCAGCACTGGAAGAAAGGAAAGAGATAATAAGAAAGGCCAGAGATGAAAAGATTCGAGGTTAAAGGAAAGGAAGAAAGCAGAGAGGGGGAGAAGAAGAGACAAAAGATAAGACGTGACATGGCAGCAAAGGGGAGAATTTCTCATTTTAATTAAGAAATTGTTGCATTTAAAGCAACAATACAGTAGGAAGACAGTGTATGATAGCTAACGTATCTACAAAACTCCAGAAGAGAAATGATTCATAATCACCACAGCTCTTCAGACTGAGAGTTAAACACTCACCCCTCTCGGTGCCTCTTGCAGAGGGAGCCGCAAGGTCAAGGATCAGAACCTTTTTCATCAACTCTGTCGCTTCCTGAAGGAGTGAGTGGAAGAAAAACAGCATAAATGAGACCGCCAGAGTCAGAGACCGCAAATGGGAGAGACAGAGAAATTGAATATTTAAACGGGTTAAGCATTTGTCCTTCTCGACAATCCCAGCTCCTGCCCCTTCATCTCATTCCTACTTTCCTCTGGAGCTGCTCACAGATCATCCCATTACCATAAAGCCCATTAATATGATAATTATCTGAGCTGTGCTTTGGCAAAGTGTGCGTTTGTTGACCAGATTAGCAGTAATTATGAGTTAGTGGAGTGTCCTCATTACTGGGAGTGAAGCTGGGGTTACAGCTGGATGCACGCCGGGAAACTTTAAACCTCAGAAAGTACAAATGCAAATAAATGGAGAGTTTTTAAAACAGATAACTGATGGTCCAACTTCTAAAGTCCCCCTCCGTTTAAAAATCAGTGTTTCTTCTTGTTCCTATAGTGTGCTGTTTGATATTTGTGCAGAGTTTGACACTAGAA